AGCCCAGGCTCCAGCCATGATCTTATTTTTTAGCCCCGGAGCCTGAGCCCCGCAAGCTCAAGTCAATTGCCCCAGTCTCTCAGACTCAGCACCACAGGATTTTCACAGCGTAGATGTACCCTTAGTTATAATGGGTCTAACCCAACTCAAGAAGCCAGGAGATGTCCCAAGAGATGGCAAGAGTCAAGCAAACAAGAGGCTTGGAAGGGGAGCAGGTGATGACAGCCTCGGTCCATGGATACAGACACAGGAGACAAGCCAGCAGATGAGCAGAAATGAGACCCAGCCCAACGGCGGGAAGCTGAAACTGGAGTCAAGGCACAAACGTTAACCAGGGCAGGAATTAGCCATGGGAACAGCTTCCCCAGGGGATTTTCGGTTCTGAGAGAGACGCATGACACACACGGCAGTTCCCAGACGTCTCCTGGACAAAGCTAGCTGAATTAGGTTGAAGCGTCATATGAGTTTGTTGTATTACGTATGATTGGGGGATTGTGCAGAATGTCTCTGGGGGGCAGACAACGAAGGTAAACCCTGGGAAGTGTTATGAGTGTCAAAGAAATCTTTGAAACAGTGTGCCAGACCAGAGCGAACTTTGCGTTCAGTGGGTTTCCTAGGAAATCCCCAGCGGGAGGTGAACGCAGATGCACCCTCCCCTTCTCCGGCCATGCAAAAACCCAGCCTTGTGAAGCTATGCCCTGAGCAGAGACCTGTTGTCTATTAATCACCCGCTCCTGGAATCTCTAGACCAAAGAGCCCAGCTGGATAAAGACCAGGCTGATTTATTCATGGTGCCCAACGTGTTATGAACTTGTAACCGCAGGGAAACCCCGGGTGAGGTTTGAAGGACTGACCCCTTCCAGAGCCCTTGTTGGAGCTGGGGAAAATCTCTGCTAAGTTTATCAACATGAGGGTGGGTTCTTTTATTGGGTCTTCTCCGTAGAGCTTTCACCTTAAAAATAGACGTGCTTGCATAGGAAAAGGAGCGGGGCACCTTACCACGGAGAAAGCAAAGCGAGCTGGCTGAGCAGTCTGGCTCACTGGGAAGCTCCCCGTGCAGGCAGGGAGCTGCGCAGCCTGGAAATACCCCGGTCGGGGGGGGAACGCACGTCTCCGCCCCAGAGGGGTGGCGGCCAAGGAGCCGGGAGTCTAGAAGCGGGTGTCCTTGCTGGACGATGAGGGGGGAATACAGGAGACATAGGCACTGGTCCAGCCGGCGGTTATGGGCTTGCTGCAGAAAACACCAGGTGGGTTCTCTGGCCTGTGCGACGCAGGAGGTCAGACTAGATGATCACAACGGTCCCTTTGGGCCTTGATCTATGGAGGAGCCAGTCCAGGGCATCCTCTCCAGCAGCACTGGATCTGGGGACCAGCGAGAGCAGATCCAGCTGTCCCTGAAGAAGTTACCGCCATGAAAAGGGGAGGCTGCAGAGACCCGCAACTGCCTCTGAGCCCAGAGGGATAAAACTTGCTACCAAGAGCGGGAGCAAAGCCAGATGGGCTGGGTGTGGAAAACAATCCATCACTTTTGCAAGGTCTGTTTGTAAATAAAGCAGCCCGCTGGCATTTCCCTGCTGGTTTCCCATCTTCCCACCTCAGCACCTGCCCCCGTCCTGGCTGCCTTCCACTTACACCTACACCCACACACCCCCGGACACACACACTGGACATAACAGCATGCGTCATGGGGTAATAACGCAGAACCAATGTGGAGACGCACAGGAGGGCAGCATCTGCCACTTGTCCCAGCACACGACCTCAAGGGGCTGCCAGCTGGGATTGGTCTGGCTCCATCAGCATTTCAGGGTACTTGGGATGGGAGAGAAAAAGGCCCATAGGGTTGGATCTGATTATTCATGTGTTTTTCCCCCACAGTGTATTTATAAAAGTTAAAAATCTTTCCCCACCGGCATCCAGAATCGCAGCCCAACAGCACCAGAGTCCAGTGGATAAGGTTGATACATCTGCAGGGCACTGGACTAGGAATGACGAAAGCTGAGTTCCATTCCCAGCTCTGCCACGGACATGTGGGCAAGTCACTGCCTCACTCTGTGACTCAGTTTCCCCTCTCACCTTTTGTCTATCCAAAGTGCAAGCGCTTTGGGGCAGGGACTGTCTCACTACATGTCTGTGCAGCACCCGGCACAATGGGGCCCTCCTCTAGACTGGGGACTTTTAGACGATAACATACAGTAAAAAATTATGACCAATAACCAAGAGGCCATGTCTGCTCTAGGGCACCTGTCCACTGGGTTCCCTCCACCCTCAAACCTGTATCAAAATTAGCTTAAGGGCTTGCAACTAGCAAAACAGGACATCACCGTTTCAGGATTCATGGATCTTAAACCACAAGGACTCACCTCCTGCATAGCCCAGGCCAGAGAAATCCACCCAAGTCCTGTACTGAGCCACGGAAGCCAGTCTGGCTCTGAAGACGTCAAGAGATGGAGAAGCCACCACCTCTCTTGGTAAATTCTTCCCTCTTCACAGAAAGAGCGCTGTAGGGGTGGCTTTGTGGCTGAACCATGGTTTATTCCTGCCTTTATTAACAGGGGCAAGAAGCCTCCACGCTGTAACTCTCCAGGATCCAGGTTTTACCCTAGGTGCTTACCATGCAGACATTTGAAAATGGGGATGGGTATGACAGGAGGGAAGGTGAGTTTTAAACTGCCCAAGCCCCTGGAGATGGGTTATGTTACATGGTGCTGCTGCACTTAGGCGGTATTTGTGATTCATGCCACGGGCGCCACCTTTAGAAGGTCTATAAATCTAAATCAAATAAACACAGTTAAATCGGGATGGTTTTAATAAGGGTGAGATGACACAATGCTTCGCACGCCTGCCACTGCCTTGAGTCCGGCCTCTCTGCTGGAGGAGCCAACCCAGAGATAGCACTAGTAGGAAACGGTAGCACAGACACAGCTCTATGGGACTGTTCACCTACAGACCTCACAAGGCTCTGCAACAATGGGGAAACTGAGGCACAGAAATCAGAAGGTCACACAAGGAGTTGAGCGGGAAATAGAACCCAGGAGTCCTGGAGCCCAGTCTAGAGCCTTCCCCACAGGGCCACCCTTTCACCCTATTGCTTAGCCACACCATGCAAAAGCAGGGCCCTCAATTAGAGATCTGTCATGTTTCATCCTCATCTGGAGAATGCCACGGGACCTTTCACAGCCCCTGAGTGACGCAGCCCGGTCGATCTCATTTTTAACTGAAGACCAGGTCTTAGCATCAATGAGAATCACACCCACTGCTTCTTGGGCAAGCCACCTCCCTGCTCTGTGCCTCAGTCTCCCCATCTTACAGATGGGGATAAGGATACTGTGCTCCTGTGGAAAGCGCTTTGAGATCTATAGACGTAAATGGCTAGATAAGAGCTAGAGGGTTATTTATTATCTTTAGCATCATTGACTATCAATGGCCTGGATCAGTCTGTCTGAGAGATCCTCTCTCTCTCTCCTCATGACATGCTGGAGATCAGCGGAGGCCCTGATGCTACATCCCTCTCGAAAGGACAGAGAGGGGTGGCTAGCACAGGGATCCGTGGAAGGGCCCGCAGGTCTGCCCTGCCTGTTGACTTCCAGGGCACATAGCAGTGACCTGCTCTTTGAGGCGAGGCAGGGGGATCAACATAGGTCGGCGTGAGAGGGTGGGGAGCGGACAGTCCTCTCTATCTTAGGGTACATCTACCCTGTAATAAAACCCGAATGGCTACACTGCAATTTTATAGCCCCCCAGCCCGAGTCAGCGGACACGGGCCAGCCACAGGTGTAGATAAACCCTCTGGAACTTACATGGCCCCTCATGACCACAGCACTCGAGCCCGTCCACAATCTGCCCCATATTTATCCTCACAACAGCCTTGGGGGAAACCGGGGAAACTGAGCCACAGAGAAACCAAGCACCCGAAGTCACACAGGGAGTCAGAGAGAGCAGGGGATTGAATCTAGAGCTGCCTAGGACTTGGGGGATCTAACCACTGGGCAATCCTCTCTCTCGGCTAGAACTTGATTGCTAGCTGCTGTCTAGCAGAGGAGCCGAGATGACTGAGCAGCCTGGTTGTTTTTGTCATTTTAAATGCCAGACAGGGGCTGCGAGCCTTCATACAGGGAGGTGTGTGGGGCGGGGGAGACTGCTATTCCAAAGTGAAAAAAAGGTGAATAAATTCAGAGGACCAGAAGGGACCATTGTGATCATCTAGCGTGACTTTTTTGTTTGGTGTCTGTACAGCTCCTAGCGCCACAAGGTCCTGGCCAGTGACTGGGGTGCCTACGCACTACCCTAATGCACCTAATAAACAATAACATACCGCGCCCAGCACAGTGGGAACCTGGTCCCCGACTGGGGCTCCTAGGCGCTACCATAATACACCTAATAACTATTAATAATCACACCCACAATAGAGGCCAGAGAATCCTTCCCCCACGTCCCGTGATGTCTGTAGGAGCTGGCGCGCATCTCTGAGAGACGCCCAATCTCAATGTAAGGACTCCAAGCGACGGAGAATAAATGAGTAAATGTTCCAGCTTAGGAGCCGAACAATTCCCTCCTACACCCGTAAGACCTGGGGATTGGAGACAACGCCTGCTTGCATTCCAAACTATGTTTTTGGTTCCATACGGCTAGCTGGCTGGATACAATGGGACCGCTTTCCCCTGCTGTCCACCACATCACGGCCACCTCCACCCCCCGCCGGGCCTGTGCAGTGGGCGCCCCTCGGCTGGAGCAGGGGGGCAGCTGGCGGGGGGGGGGGGGGCAAGGCCTGGGCAGCAGAAACAGGATCTCACATGGACACTCGATCCTACGGGAGGCTAGGGGTGCTGCCAGCTCCACTAATCAGATGCCCGCGGATGGCAGGCCAAATTTCAGAGAGCACCCCTGTTAAAACCCACACACGTGGCCGCCACGCTGAGCTGCTCAGGGTGCCACGGCGCTGGCTAGAGAAGGGCTTAGGTTGCATAAGTACCCCAGCAGGGAGGGAGGTGGGGAAGGCTTACCAGACGGCTGTTCCACTTGGGCAGATAAACTCCAGCCCTTCCCAGGTAAAAGCACCAAGAAGTAGGTCACCAAGAAGCTTTTCTCACTGGCTGAGGAGAGCTGCGGCTATTCATAGCCCTGAACGCCAGCTCCACGTCCCCACCTCTCCTCAGCTGGGAAGCTGGAAAGAGGCCACCGACAAAATTTACTTAACTCTCCATTGTTTGCAGTTCCCTCTTAGAAGCTCAAACAACAGGAAAAAAAAAAAATCTTTCTTCTCCACCGCCCTGGGTCTCCTCCAGCCCTCACCCCCTCCCGATACAACCATCTGAGCTTAGAGCTTTGCAAGACTTCACAAACATTTCGCCTCCCAGTTCTGATCTGCCAGCCAGACCTCTCTCATTGTCAGAAAACCAGGCAGCAGCCCCCACTTGGTTTTACGGTGAAAGTGTTGTGACACACACACACCCCGCCCCAACTTCATACACACACGTGGAATCAGAGGCCTCATGAGTTAGGTACAATCCCAGGGCTGCTGGCTCTCCTGATTTTGTTGCAACTTTCGCAATTTTTGGTGGAACAGAAGAAGAATTGCCAGATTAGAACAGATCCACCTAGCCAGTATCCTGTGTCTGACAGTGGCCAGCACCAGCTGCTTCAGAGGAAGGTGTAAGAACCCCATACCAGAAAAATGTGGGATCATCTGCCCCCCTCCTCCCCAGGATGGTCTATGACGATAACTCTTGATATTCATGTTATCCATATAAAGGTCGAATCCCTTTCTGGATCCTGCTAAATTCTTGGCCTCAATGACTTCCTGTGGCAGTGAGTTCCACTAGCTAATCAAACATTGAGTGAAAAAGTATTTCCTTTTGTCAGTGTTTAATTTCCACCTTGTTCCTGTGTTATGAGATGGGGAGAACAGACATTCCCGACCAGCCTTCGCTAGGCTTAGTTTTCGTTAGCTTATATACGCTTTGATCCCTTCCCATGTTTTCTTCTGAAAGCCACAGCTCCCAGAGGCATGTGATTACGAGACTCACTATTGCCAATGTCAAGTATTCAAAAATCTTGAGTTGGGTCCAAAAAGCGTGAGAGTTGTAATTTTTTTTAAACCAGATTTTTTTTTTAAATTATACACTTCGTGGGGTTTTTCCTTTGCCTGCTAGATTTTGAGCTTTTATGGCACATTCTGGACATATTTTCAAGCTTTTCTCTGCAACCACAAAAGCTAGACACTTGACTTTAAAAAATGAAAGCTGGGATTCTCATGCAGTCATGGGATTCCAAGCACAGGGGTGTCACCAAATTTTATGAGACATGGGAGAAGACTGTGAGAGTTCATGAAGTATGTTTCTAGCCCTCCCGATTCAAGGGAGGCAAAAACCAGAACCCCAAATTCATTATTCCCGCCCTAAAACTCATGATTTTAAGCCTCTCTCAGGATTTGGGGGGTGAGGGGGTAGTTTGAATTTTCTACCAGGTCCCTTTGGCCTTGTCTATATGAGAAAACTTGTATTGGTTTAACTAAAAATCTATTAAACCCATCTAGTTAAATCAGTGCAAATCCCCTAATGCAGATGCACCTGAACCCGCTTAAATCAGTAAATTACAGGCACGAGCTGATTCAAGCATGCGTTTGCCCCAGTTTAACTAAATCTATTTTAAAACTGATTGAATTACACTGGTGCAACGTTCCTCATAGAGACAAGAACTGGACTGGAAAACTGGCTTCTATTCCTGACAGCAGGAGTAGCACCCCTGCAAATCCCTGGGGAGCGATTCTCCAGCGCCTTGCACTTAGTGCATTCCTTTACACCAGTGCAAACTGCCTGTAAAAGGCAAGTTTCAGAGGAGCAGCCGTGTTAGTCTGTATTCGCAAAAAGAACAGGAGGACGTGTGGCACCTTAGAGACTAACCAATTTATTTGAGCATGAGCTTTCGTGAGCTACAGCTCACTTCATCGGATGCATTCACTGGAAAATACAGTGGGGAGATTTATATACATAGAGAACATGAAACAATGGGTGTTATCATACACACTGTAAGGAACTAAATCACAATGCTTTCACAGCCCCTCCGCCCTCCCTTTGCACGCGTGTTACGCCAGCACGGCAAGATTTTGCACAAGTGAATCACACTGTAAAATGGGCCTGGTTTGTACCCACGCCAGGGATTGAAACAGGCAGTTTTGGTTAAGAGACCCAGAGCAGCCCTGGGCTGGATTATTTGCTCCCTTGCTTCCCTATCTCAGTCCCCTAGCTAAACAGCTCCCCGCTCATTCTGGCAGCAAGAATCCCGCTTGGGCCCTCTCTGATTCACAAGCAGGAGCTCCAGAGAGAGACCCGTCACAACATGCCCTCCTGGCCCAGATCCCCAAGCTCCAAGGAGGAACAGCATGGCAATGGCCAGCGTGCGTAATCTAAATGCAGGGCAGACGTGGGGCATTTCCACGGGCAGGGGCAAAGAAGTCCCGTTTCCTAAACACCCCTGATAACTTCAGTTCCCAAATGCCCCACAGTCTGCAATGCAGAGCTCAACCCCACCCACACCAGCTCACTCCCAGCCCATCATCACAGCTTCCAGACCATTCATTGTGTCTGTTTCCACCCGCGGCCCCTCCTTGCAGATCAAAACCTTTGACAGTCAAAGCCGCCTCATTAGCCCCAGACAACCTGAGCGGGGAAGTGAGCAGCCCCGGGACACAGCCTGATCTTCACCCCAAGGACAGGGCAGAGGCTTGGAACGGGAAGGCCAGCTGCCCCCATCACATGTCACTTTAACCTCTGCATCCACCCCAGCCGGCGCCTGACCCAAGCACTAGCCAGCACAAAAATTCTGCTAATTTACATGAACGTGAAGCTGCGAAGTGAGACTGGGGAGAAGGCGCACGCAACCGGGCAGCCAGGACGCTGGGAACCTACTCCCAGTTGAGTCACAGCGTGTCCCTGGGCCAGGCGCTTTGCCTCGATTTCCCCCATCCTAACCGGTACCCATCTCTGCTCTACCTGACCCTCATTCCTCTAGCATCTGTACAACCCCCCCGTCTGATGTACTTATCCTCACAGCCCCCGCGAGCAGCAGGGCAGGGCTACTGTCCCCAGTGTACAAATGGGAAACTGAGGCGCAGAGAAACTAAGCCCAGGGTCGCGCAGGAAGTCTGTGGCAAGGGATGGATTTGAACCCAGGCCTGCCAAGAGCTAGGCCCATCAGGCTTGGCGAAGCTAAGCCATTAATGTTTGAGAGGTGCGGCTGGCTTCCCGAAGGGAAGGTTTTACGCTCTTTAGCGGCTCACATTCTGAAGCAAACGTGCATGGGGGTGGGGGGGATTTTTGTTTCTTTACAAACTACCATTAGTAAATATTTATATTTCAGTAGCACATAGCAGTCCCAGCCAAGATTGGGCTTCACTGTGCCAGGCGCTGTACAAACCTAGCAAGTGACAGTCCCTGCCCCAAATTCACTTCACACAACAAACCGAGCCTGGTCAACCCACCAGCCCTCTAATCCCAGAATCTCCAAATCCAAGTAACTCGCCAGGCTCCTGGCGTCAGGTCAGAATTATCCTCATCTCCCCAACCAGGAGGCAGAATCACGGAGAGGGGAAGTGACTTGCCATCCAGCAGCCGAGCCAGGGCTCAGGTGAGTCCTGCTCCCCCAAAGACGGGAAGAGAACCCAGCAGGGCCAACTCCTGCTCCTTCCTCTAACCCCCAGACCCCACTGCCTCCGTCCCACCCACTGAGACCCCGTCACATCTGGCGGAGCTGGCGACGGCTGCTCAGCCGCTTGCACCAAGGCTGTGCGGAGTTTTACGGCTGGAATGTTACACTGCCGTAATTACAGCTCCCACACCCCAGGACTCGTCCACCAACGTGCTCGGGCGGCGGGGAGAGCAGAGGGAGAGACTGCACCTATGGGGCAACGCAGAACATACTTTCGAAGGAGCCCAGAGCGCAAGAGGCTGGATCCTGTTTGCAGTTTAGGCTAGTGCAAACCCAGAGCCGCATCCGTGGATTCGCTCTGGGTTTACACCTGTGTGACTGCAAACAGAATCTGGCCAGATGTCTGCAGCCGTGCAAAGAGAGTGCAGCATGCTACCAGATCACCAGAGGGATACGCTCCCTTTGCACGTCTGCAGACGACCACACAAAGGGCCGGACAATGATGAGTCAGGCCCCCTGTTGGACCCTGCCATACTGGACAGGGGTCCACCTCTCGCATGGAGCCCTTTGCAGGGTCAGGCCCTAAATAAGCAGCGCATCAGCCTGCAGGATCCCCAGGCAACCAGGTCTAGACACCAAAGCAGCATCTTTGCTCTCCTCCCGCCCCAGCGATTCACGCAGCCCATGTGCCTTTGGCAACCGATTCACCTTCACAACTCCCTCCCCGCTGTCTTGTCTGCTCTGCTTCTCCACAGGATGAGCCTTACAGTCAAGCTCAAAGACCCCACAGAAGATCGGAGACCCATGGCGCTGCACGCACACAGTGAGAGACACTAACAGCCCCAAAGAGCTTACTTTCCAAAGAGACAAGCCTGGCAAAGGGAAACCGAGGCACAGAGAGGGGGCAGTGACTTGCCCAAGGTCACCCGGCAGGGCAGTGGCAGAGTTAAGAACAGAACCCAGATCTCCTGACTCCCAGTCCAGCGCCCTACCCTCTAGACCATGCAGCCACTCACAGAAAGCTCATCATTTCTCCGCTCTAATGCGCCACACATCTCCTCCCCACCCCAGAAGGTGCACTTCAGCGCACTTGGTGGGACCCTCGCTAAGGCGTGGTCATCCCAGATGAAGGTGTCACATCCAATGAAGTGAGCTGTAGCTCACGAAAGCTCATGCTCAAATAAATTTGTTAGTCTCTGAGGTGCGACAAGTCCTCCTTTTCTTTCTGCGGATACAGACTAACATGGCTGCTCCTCTGAAACCATCAGCTTTGAGACTCCACGGCTCCCTGCCTTTGCAGGTTCTTCACCTCCCCACGGCAGGTAACCCAAACTCTGCGTTTGATTTAACAAGCATTCAGGGGCGCTGGGACAATGGGCCTCACTGGGGTGCCGAGAGCCATTGAACCAAAGTGTAAACCCTGCATAGGATGGAAACCACTTCAAGCCAGGAGGTGTGGCAGCCCCCTTCGTTCCAGCACCGCTGCAAGCCTTGGTCATCTCTCCTCTGCATGAACGTTTACCAAAGCTAAGGCTTAACCCGGTACTTTTGGACACGGATATATGTGCAATTAGGCTTCACCTACAGATCATTTGCAATGCCACAAGCACGAAGCTCTTCCAGGCCGTGCAGCATCCCTAGCGCTCCCGTGGAAAGCACGTTCCATCCCATGCAAGTAGGTTTAATATAAGAATCACTGAGTGACGTTCTCCAGCCTGTGTAACGCGTGAGGTCAGGCCAGATGATCAGACACATCCCTTCCAGCCTCGAAATCCATGGACTAAAGTTAAGTAGAGTTTTGCTTGAAGGCCTCTGAGATCACTTTAACCCTCGATTACTAGTCCGCAGCACCACAAACTAAACACCCCAGGCACCCAGGCTCCCCTGAGCCTCCCAGCCAGGAAAGGAGCCATCTCCTCATCGAAATTAAGTCATCTGTTCATTAAGTCCGGGGATTCAGAGAAGAGAGCAGCAGTAACTCCAGGGGAGTCATGCTGGTGTTAAGCGAGATCAGGATCAGACTCCGTCTGCCTCCGAGCCCAGATCAGTCCCAACACAATCCAGAACTGCTGTGATTAAGCAACAGCCAACCCCAGGGGCCCTGTGAAGCGATTTTTTTTTTTTTAAACCTCTTCTTCAGTTATTACTTCAAGGCCTGAAGGGGAAATCGACTCACACGCCCTTTCATGATGAGAAAAGCTTCCCAACCCTGACAGAGACCTGGGGCAGGATTCTGGTCTCACACCTGGGGTAAATCGGGAGTAACTCCTTAGTAGTTAACTTTGGTGCACCGGAGTGAGACTGGTGCAAGCAGGATCAGAATCCAGGCCCTCGCTCTCACAGATCCAGGTGAGCAAAGCTGGCAGAGGGAAGCATGACAGGAAGATCCCAGTGAATCTGACTGGGAGCATCGAACATTTACACTTCTCCCCACCCCCAATCAAAACTTATTTTTGCTACTCCCTCAAAAAAAGGGACTATCACCCCGGGTGAAAAAGCTACAAAGTGCAGAAAGTTCCCTGGCCTGCCCCAAATCAAAGTGATATTAGCCCAGTTGCCAGGCCAGGTTGCCATCTTTCATTTGCACAAACGTGCAAGGATACATGAAGTGACTAGGGTTTTCTGAATTTGCACCAGTGCTGACAAATTCCCCCTCTGCATCACAGGGGCATTCAAGTCTTGTCTAGACTGGGGATTTTTTGCACTGATGTAGTTACACCCACGCAAATCCTTAGTGTAGACACACTAGTACTAGTGTAAAAAAAAAAAGGCAATTTGCATCAGTGATGGCTTTCACCTGGATGGAGGCACACCTCTGTTTACACCAGGGCAGACCACTGTTTGCACTGAGGTTTGCACTAGTGTAGCTATAATCATGCACAGAGGAGCCCTACACCATGGATAACCCATGCAGAAAAGCTGGGTGGGTTTCAGTATATGAGGAGGAGGGCCTTATACACCTCCTTGTTTTTCCACCTGGCAGGCACTTAAATTCACACCATGAATTTCACATTTCATTTTTCCAGGAGCAAATTATTCTTAAACCAAAGGCAAAAAAGAAAGGGAAAGGGGAAAAAAAAAAAAAAGGCTTGTAGGAATACTCAGACCACGTCCCCCCTCCTCTCCTGATCCCGTGTCCCCACTTTGATCCCAGACCCTCCAGTCTCACCTACAGTGCATGTGGGATCTATTCCACCCTACGGGGAAGTGGGGGACAGCAGAAGGGTGGGTCTGATCATTCAAAAGGGACCCAGAAGCCTGCAGACAACCCCTCTCTTGAAAATGCTCCATCTCCACAGGCCAGGGAGCGAGGAAACGAGCCAGGTACAATGACCCCCCTCCCAGTACAATAAAAATAAACACCCCCCCCCAACACACACACAACAGAAGAGGTGGGAAATGAAACGCAGGCTGCGATTTATCTCATCAGGATCCCCCCCTTAAAAAAAAAAATCTTTCCCTCTCCATCCACCAGCTCTTCCCCATCGCATGCATTCCCCACCTGGCCACAACCCCAGGAAAGGGCCTGGCTTGGGAGGCCTTTTTGTGTGTGTGTGTGGGGGGGGGAGCAACAATTAAAATCATGCACATTACAAAAGCCTATAAACAATCCACTTCTCCCCCCTCCCCACAACACCCTCCCCCTTCGGTGTTAATGAAGAATCTCCTCTTGTAAACCCCCCAATTCCCAAGCCTTCCCCTCCTGCCTGGGACTCACCCCAACAATGGGCGAGCAGGAGCCTGCTCTGCGCCTTTGCCGGCTCGGTCGCTGCGCGCCGGGTGGGTGGATGCAAACTTTGATCCGGCGTGAAGCGGGCTTCACGCCGTGTTTTTCAGAGGGCGACTTCACTCACCATTGCGGCGCCCGGCCGGCCAGTCCGGGTTCCCCTTAACAACCGGGGCGCAGCTTCTCTTCTGTAGCTTCTTGTGCCTTTTGTTAGATTCCAACCCCCCACCACACACACACACGCCCCCCCCCCCACCACACACACACACACAACCGCAATTTAATGGTGGGCTTTGCCTTCCTCCCCCCACACACACTTTCTTCTTCTTCGCAACGACAGTTAAAAATTAAAAAAAAAAAGGGCAAAACGCGTCGCTTCCAAAAAAATCCCCCCCCCTTCCGAAATCCACGGGAAATGCCCTTCGTTTACCAGGCTGCGGCTTGCCTCGCTTTGCGCCGACTGCGAAAGGTAACCAAAAAAACCAACAAAAAAATCCCGGTGCAAAGAAAGCGCCTGGAAATTGCGGATCCCGGCTGCCAGCCTGCGAGTGTGTGAACGCAAAGTCCTCCCTGAGCCCCCCCCGGCTGTTCTAGGAACCGGTTCCCTCCCCCTCCAGCTCTCCCATTGTCTCAGAGATGAAGTTCCCAGAGCCCCCCCCCCACCTCGCCCGCATCTTGTTTAGTGTGTTGGTGTTAAAGGGAAAGAGCCGGCGACGGGGGAGGAACGGGCACTGTCTGGCAGTTTTCTTCATTTAAGATTCCTGCCAGAGGAAGGAGCCATCCAGCCCTCCCACATTTTAGCTGGGGCGGGGGGGGGGGGGGGGGAATGAAATGGTTGCGCGCGACTTTCCTGTGATTTTCGCGCAAGCCGGGGGGGAGCGAGATGGGGATTCCTAACCTGGCGCAGGCCCTGGGCCCTGGTGTATCTGGCCTGCTGCTTGGTTCAGTCCCTTGGGGCTTGGAGGCGAAGGGAGAAGATGGGGGTAAAGCCGCAGAGAGAGAGAGAGAGAGAGAGAGAGACCCCCCCCACACACACAGGATGAACATAAGGACCGGTCGCAGAAAATAAGGGCCCCGATCCTGCAAATATTTCGTCTGGCTGGGTGACTTGGGCGCACCACTCACGGCTTCGGTCCTGCAAACGGAGCCATGGTGACCGACCCCGTGGGGTGGTGCTGGGCTAGTTTGCAGATTCGGGGCTCGCTGGATTCATCAGGGGCTTCGGCTGGACCATTCATTTCCGTTTGGCAGGGTCAAGGCCAATCCTGCAAACCCTTCCCCCCCACAGGGAGCAGCCTTGGCCCAAGCAACTAGTTCCATTAGTCCGGGCTCGGGTGCACCCGTCCCCGAACTTTGGGTCATCCTTTGCAGCAGGGAGTGAGGGCCAAAGTGGGGGTAGACGCCCCCAGATCAGAGGGGTTGCATTCCACAGCCGCTGTGCGCTGGTGTAAATGAGTAGGCAAAAAACCAGGGCAGCTGTGAATCCCATGCTGACCTAAGAGCCAGATTTACACACGGTGCTTAGCACCCTGCAACTCCCCTAGTTCTCAATGGGGTCAAATGGCCACTGGCATGGCACTGGGATGGCAAATGGGGGATTCTCTGTAGTTCTCAATGGGGGGGAAGTGGCCATTGTTCTCCATCAGGGGATTATCCATAGTTCTCAGTGGGGGCAATGGCCATTGATATCAATGGGGGGATTCTCCATAGTTCTCAGTGGGGGGCAATGGCCCTTGTTCTCAATGTGGGGATTCTCCATTGTTCTCAATGGGGTTTTTTTTAGGGCTTTTTTTTCATTTTCATTGGAACTGCCCACAGAAAGGTGTGGCTGGTTGGTTGGTTGTTTTTTGTTTTTTTTTTTTTTTTTGGGGGGGAGGGTATTGTAAACATGAAAGCTGAACATTTTACAGTTCTCTAAAACAAACCAATTTTTTAACCGAAAACCTGAATTTCTGACCAATGGCATCTGGCCAGACAGGCCCCCCGGTCTCAGTGGGGGTCTGTTGGTGCCACTGTGCTACTTACCGCAATAATAAACCAGTCAGTTATGTTACACCCGCTTCCTCCCGACACCCTCCACTGGGTAAGTGCACAGGAAAGCCGGAGGGATTACGCTTGTTCTCTTTCTCACGCCTTCCTCATGGCTCCTCTTGTGCAGGCTGCACTGCCCGCAGCGAGTGCCAAGTGGGCACAAACACCCCCGCATCAGAGGGGTCGCCTTCCACAGCCACTTCACACCCATATAAATGACTGGGCAAAAGCTCCAGCAGTGTGGCCGTTGATAACATTTAGCGCATGTCATCGGTAGCTCTCACAGCACTGTACAAAGGAGGGCTGTAGCGTTCTCTCCACTTTACAAGTGGGGAAACTGAGGCACGGAGGGAGGTGAAGTGACTTGCCCAAGGTCTCCAGTTAGCCAATGGCAGTGCCGGGAAGAAAACCCAGCTCTCCTGAGCCGTGCCCTAACCACTAGGCCCCATCACCTCTTTATGCTTTTGTTGTTGTTGTTACTGAGGCTCCCATGTTCACGCCCAGCCAAAAGGCGATGTGTGGGGTTGTTACATTCGGAAGATTCCCCCCCCCCTTCACACATGTTCCATTATTTTTATAGAGACAAAAATTATGCTTAGTCTGAGACCCTCAAACCACCTCAAACTGCACAGGCCGTCGGATGAAAACCGATTGTGATCCGTACTCGGCTGAATGTAAAGCCATTGCTAGAAGCTCCAAGTTCCTATTACTTATCCCCTGAATGATACATACGCTCTCCTCCCTCACCACTCCCCGCGGGCACCCGAACTGACAAACTGCAGCGAGTCCTAAGGAGATTAGCAGAAATGATGAAAGGTTGGAGAAATGAGCGCTCCAAGGAGGTGACACAGGAGATCTAGAACGGCGGGGGTGGGAGGGGGGGAAGACACATTTGCTGTCGATAAACTCATAACAAAATCTTAGGTGGTGGCTGTCCCTTACAGTTATTTACTTGAGAGGACAGCTGGGGGGAATTAGGTTGCATCTCAAGGAAACTTTTATTTTAGTCATGAAAAAAACCACGGCAACAGTGCAAAGGAATTTCGGAATAAATTCTCTGGGCTGATGGTAGGCACCAGCCTCCACCCCAGTGGGATGCGGAAGGACATCAGTACATAGCTTGAGGGGAGCTGATAATTACGCCAGACCCAGACCCTACCCTCTCCCTGCAGGGGGCGCTGTGATGCGCAGGATGTGAGCATTGGCTGCGGAGGGGAGCGACACCAGTCCTGGTCTCTTCCAGCAGGGGCCGCTGTGGGAGCAAGGCAGGAGCCCAAGCTGTGGAGGGGGGGAGCTCCCAGATACTCCAGTTCCAGCCTCTCCCAGCAGGGGGTGCTGTGGGAAGCAGGGTAGTAGTGCGGGCTGGGAGGGGAGCTCCCAGACACTCCAGATCCAGTCCCTCCCGGCCGGCTGTTGCCCTCAGCTTTTCCATCCTTGCTCACCTGCTGCCGTTATGGGCCCTGCTAATGCACTTTAGACATGGAGTTAATAGATTGAGGCCAGCGTCGCAGGACTGAGACAGACAGATGTGTAGGTAACAAAGATGAACAGAGGGGAGTGTAAGATAGATAGATAGATAGACAGAGGGGGTGTATGGGGATAGATAGATAGATAGATAGATAGATAGATTAGATAATGCATTAGAGCATCTGGATGGACAGAAGATATATGTAATATACATGTGTATATGTCTATAGGCATAGGGAGAAAGCTGGCAAAATTACAGGCCCTAGCTAGGCAGGGGACCGTCATAGGGAAGATGGGGGTATGGGTTAGAGGGCTAGATAGGGGTGTTTAGGTGACTGATAGGCCCACAGACGCAGCGGCGTGCTAGGCTCTGGATAGGTGGATACACACGGTGCCTGGGTGTTCTCGCATATACCCTACAGAGGTCCCCCTACTCCTCCCATCTCTCTCTCCCCAGCTGGATATTAAAGGAGGTGGGAGCGGGGAGATCACAGGAATCAGCCGTGGGAAAAGCCCATTAAATCATCCTGCTCTGGCCACATGTCCCTGCCCTGTACCAGCCACCGCTCCAGCCCAGCCCGTGGGGCCAGCTTCCCCATCCCCGGCATACTGGTTGCCCACCATGCCACACTAGGACGCATTTGTCAGCCCGTCGAAAGACATTTGGGACCCTGGTACATCGCGTTCGTGGGGCCCCACCCCCTCACATTTCACTTTAGTTACACAGACGTTACCGACGTTTGGGGGGCCCTGGGCTCGGAGCCTGGGTACAATTGTCCCCCCCTTCCCCCCCCTCAGTCCTGCACACAGGGCCCGGAGGTGGCTGGCTTTGTTCCCTGCAGCTGCCCCCCCAGCAGCCAGGCGCTTCAGAGCAGGGGACCAGCAGCATTGGGTCCCAGGGAGGGGCTGCCTAGAAGAACCCCCTGATCCCGCTTGGAGGATCAATGGGGAGACTAGGCAGCACAAAGCCCCTGTCCAGCCCCTCACCCCATCCATCCATCAGCCTCAATCACAAGCTACAACCTCCACCTTCCAGGCCACTTTTATTCAATGGGACAGGCCCGAGGGGGGGCGGAGCTCGTCTTCCCCCACCCCCACCGACCAATCCCCAAGTGAGCCTGGCTCGGCCTCACGCCATTGGTGGGTTTTAAATGGATTGGTTTCTCTTAAAGGGGAGGAGGAGGAGATGTGGAGGGGAGGGATGGGGAAGGGGAAGGCGTGAGAAGGGGGAGAAAAGAAGGAGGGAGGGAGGAGGAAGCTCATGAAGGGTGGGGACAGGGGAGGGCGAGGCAGACAGAAGGGACGGACAGATGGGGAGTGGGTGGAAGGGGCGGATTGTGCAGCAGCCCAGCCCCCCTTATAAATGGAGCACGGGGCGGGGGCTTCTCAGCCTGGGCACAGAGTCCGGGCGGATGGGGCTGGGCTTGCAGAACAAATGAGGAGATGCCACAGGCTTCCCCCCTCCTCCCCAGGTGCCTCCTGTCCAACCCCGTCCATATCCATTGCCCTGTGTCATTTGTTTCAGACAGTCCTTGATACAAAGAGTGCACAGTGTAACAGACAAGGCAGGATCACTATCCCCAGCTGGGGGAAACTGAGGCACAGAGAGACAGCGAGCTGGGAGCAGAGTCACAAGAAAGCTCAGTGTGTTGGGTGGGCATAGCGCCTTGGAGGATTGGGCCCTGGCTACCCAACGGCCCTTTGGAGATTGTCTGGGGAGCCGGACGTGGCTTCCCACAACCAGCTGCCCTGTCCCATCCGCTCACTCGGGAGGCAGAGGTGATTAATGGGCCTGTCAGGAGAACTTCCAGCCAGCTGGGATCCTCAGCAGCAGCTCCGCCATCTGGGAAGGGCTCGTTGTTCCGCCCCGTGATTTTAGACAGATCCCCTCACGTCTCCCAGCAGCACGGACCCCCCAGAGTCGGGGAGTGCTCCTGCGGGCAGCTGGGCCCAACTCCATCCCCAGGGCATGGGCTCAGCCCCTTCTCCTGAGCAGGGGCAAGGAGCAGGCCGCTGTGCAGGGACACAGGGAGACTTATATGTCCTGTTCCTCCATCTCCCAGGGATGGAGCGCCAAGGATG